GAGCTTGAAGATAGTGGAGAAAGTGTATAATAATTTCCGAGAACAAGCAATAGAGCTGACTAAAGAAGCCTGCTTGGGTCAGAGTTTTTCCACTGGGGACCATAATTTTATAGTGGTACCTATGTGATTTCCCTCAGTGGTGTGAAGCCAGGCTGTTAGCATGATGATAATAAGCATGAGGCAAAGAGGTGAGGGTGTCTGGAGTGAGGCTCTGCTTGTTGAATTCCACAGAATGTCAGTGGGACAAGGAAGTTGGGGCTGTTGGCAAGACTGAGGTGAAGGTTCTGGAACATGGAGTCTAAACACCACAGGGAGAGACGAAGGGGAGACCGAGGAGAAATAAAGACCGGGCAATGTGTATGTATGGAGGTGGTTAAGGATCCGGGGGGTCCCTAGAATAAATTTAGTGGGAGCTAGTGAGAGATCTGGAAGGATAGGAGGTCTTGGTTGGTAGTAGGATATTTAACTTTATGACTTCAAAGGCGGAGAAGTTCTGAGTAATAAGGAAGTGGGGGATGTGGCCTTGGGAGGGCCCACATTGACCCTTGTCATCCCCGGGACCCTCTCCCTGATCCAACATTCACATGGCTTTTCTCTCGTCTGTCAGCCTCTGCTGTACATCCTACCTCAGCTACCCTTTTCCCACTTCCTGGTCCAGCAAAGGGAACTCACAGCATCCTTTCTTAGTTCCGGAGAAATTTTTTCCACATGTGTCTGATTCATTTGCGTTTACTGAAATTCGAAATCTCCAGTGTCCGAAACCTCTTTCAACTTATTTTCCCCCTGCCCTTTCTTAGAAACAGGAAGTTGTGTTTGGCTAAGGACAAACTCTTCCAGTGACCCTGGGACTTACAAGAAGTTTGGAATGAGGAACGGTGAGGTCTGGGGAAGGCTTCTTTACTCTCTCCTTTCCTGGGGCAAGTGTGTATCTGCCAGGGCTAGGCTGGTTAGCTCATGGGGATGGAAGACTAGCCAGAATTTTCCTGTGTCTCCTTGCTCAGCCCAAGGCCTGAGGGAAAGTGTGTTCTACAAGAGATAGGTGGCTTTGAAGGCTCCTGTATTTCTCTCTCCCTGCACTAGCATCTATGGTTCAGAATACACTTCTACATTTGGTCTCACTTTTCTCTTCCCAACACTTGGGCAGTGTCTGTGAGGAGCCCTTTAATTTAGTTTTTGAGAGGTGTGGGCTCGATTTTAAGCAAGGGAGGCCAACTACCTCCTGAAGAAGAATGAGCCAAGCTGTGAAGGGAGCACATCTATTGTGATAAGCCTGGCCAGGTTGTTGGCAAGGCTTACCCTAGGAAGCAGACAGGTGTCTGGTGAGGGCTGATGTGGTACCAGTGAGGCAGGGAGAGCATGGAGGTCACAACCCAAGCACTCTGCTCACTCAGCGCTCCAACATTCACTTCCCTTCAGTGTGTTATTTTCTCTTGCTGAGAATTTTTTCATATGTAAGCCCAACATGACCACAATATATCACTTTCACGATGATCTAAATGGAACCAGCAGGAATGTCAGCTTAGGTGAATGACTTCTCTCTCTCACCTTCCACATGTAGCTTTCTTGAAGGACCACAGGAAAATACGCTGTGCCAGAAGAGAGCTTTCTCACAGACATACTGTCCTGCAGCCAAGGGCCACCGAAGGTGAGCAAACCCATTCATAGTTCTCAAGGGCGGGAGTGGGGCTACCTCTCTCCCCTTCTCTGCCTTCTGTCCTGGCGCCCGTGGGCGCGACTGCTCGAGGCCTTGGGGTGGGGAATGCTGGCGAGGAGGATAGACTTCTCTTTACTTAGGGCCTTCCCTCTCACTCTGCATAGAGCAGAGTCAGGGCGGAAGAGGACAGGTGTCGGGGACGGTAGCTTAACCTTGCCTAAAATGTTGCCTTCATCGTCTTCCTCATGCTCACTCTACCTCATGTTTTGTTTTGGCTCTATATCCCGTAATTGAGCTTCAGCTGACCGAAGAGGCACAAGGAAGGGATAAGGCCGTAGCGGCAGAAATCTGGGAACCTAAGGATAATACTACATCTGATTCTCACTGGTAGATTCCATATTTTTGTTCACTCTCACAAACCATTCCTCATTCCCCAAAGTGAAGGGGACATGGCTGCTTTTCGAAGGGGCTTGGTGATCTGAGGCAGAGCACGTGGGGCAGAGATTGCTGTGGGCTCAGGAGCCTGTTTTCCTTCAATCAGGGGAGACTCAGACCCTGGGAGGAGGGACAGTCCTTATTATGAGGGCCCACTTGGTTAAAAAGCCCAAACACGAAGAACCTAGTGAACATCATCGGAGGGGCAAGATGTGGAGCGTGGAGCTAGTGGGAAGATGGTCCCATCACCTCTGGACCATGTTCCTGGGAGGGGGATGGTTTGCTAAAGTGGGCTGGGGAGCAATAATGTTGCATAGTTTTGGAACAAATCCTTCTGGTCAGCTACAGGGGAATAAAGGGCAGAGAATAAATCCCAGGCAAGGATTCACTTATCCTGAGGATGAAAGAAATGAACTTTGATGCTAACGTACCACCTCTGAAATATTTCTGGCAGGTGTTTGGAGGATCCAGATGAATGACTGCTGCGGTTACCTGTCGAGTCAGGGCCTTAAGGACTTTAGGGGATGCTAGTACTAGCTGGAAAATGCAAACTCGCAGCAGAGGAAATGTAGTCTTCCCTTCTCTGGGCTAAAAGAGTGGTCGAGGTTGGCCAGGGGAAATAATGGTGTGGTCTCTCTCTGCAGATCATTTGCTGAGTCCCTGCACCGCAGCTGTTGAATTTCCAGACACAAACAAGTATGTATTCTGTGAGCCTGGCCGAGCCCACACAGCAAGGAAGAGCCAAGCTGGATTCCATTCTGCTTTGCACATCAGCCGCTCTGCCGCAAGCTGAACTCCAGGGCAAACGCTCTGCCAGTAGGGATGGCACCACTGGACTGATATGGGCAGTTCATGGGGGACACTCCTGGCCTTGGTTATTTTGGGGAGAATGAGAAACAGTAGATGAAGAGTTGCAGAAACATACATCAGTTTCAACAAAACTGGTGCACAGCAAGGAAAAATCTGGTTTTACTAGTCATCCTCAACATGTCTGTGTGTGTGCTTGTTTATGTTTAGGTAAGCCTGGCCTCCCACTCCCTAACGAGTCAGCAGACAGGGAAAAAGTGGCCAACTCCATGTCGAAGGCCACAGTGTGCACCACACAGAGGTGACCAGCAGCAACCAGCCAAGGGCACTGTAGGGGCTGAAATCCCCTTTGTTTTGTCTCGTGCCCACAGGGCCAGTCCTCCCAGAGGGCCCCTTTTCCTCATTCACCCCAGGGCTCCATATAGCATCTTCCCTGCCCAGGTCACCAGTTATTTGAAGGGGTCTTGAGAGAAAGTGAAAGAAAAGGACAAAGGGGTCAAAGATGATAAAAAAGGGAAGACGTAAATGTGTATATATTCCTTCTTTTCACTAGAATGTCAGTCCTTGATGTCGCCTGCTTCATGTCACCCATTTGTGACCAACGACTACGCTTCCTCTACACTAGACCATATGGAAGACTGAGCCAGGAAGAGGTGAGGAGATATGGAGTGGAAGATGGGATTTGGGGGGCTCTCAGGTAGGTTTCAGGTGGCAGGTGGGGAATGCAGTTCTGTGTAGAAAGGGCCGATGGGGGGAGCCTGGCTGGCTCAGTCCGTTAAGTGTCTGACTCTTGATTTCGCTCAGGTCATGATCTCAAGGTCGTAAGATTGAGCCCCACATCAGATGCTGCACTGGACGTGGGGTCTGCTTAAGATTCTCTCTCTCTCCCCCTCTGCTCCTTCCGCCGCCCACCCCCCCACGCCCTGCTCACATAGGCGCATGTGTGCGTGCATTCTCTCTCTCAAAAAAAAAAAAAAAAAAAGAAAGAAAGAAAGGGCTGAGTGGGACCATTGCAAGTTGTTGGGGCCGGAAGAGTTGTGAGGTGGGGATAAAGTTTGATATGAAGAGAAGGAGCTGAGGTCGTTGGTGTGATGGTGCTTAGATACAGTCCAGCATTCCTCAGGTCCTAAGAGAATCTGGTACCTCTGGCGGGTCGGTATATCAAAGGGAGGCTGGGAATGTTTGCAGAGTGGAATGGGATAGTCTTCCTCAAGAATAATGAGTCCAGAGACATCACGTTGCCACTGTTACCTCCGAGTCGGACATTTCCTCTAGGGCGGTGGTTCTCAAACCAGCAGGCTCCACACCACCTGGGAACTTTCTAGAAGTGCGGATTCTCAGGACCCCCTGCCCACCCCCCAACCCGGCAACCCACTGAATCAGAAACCCTTGGGGGTAGGGCCCAGCAATCTGTATTTTAAGAATCCCTCTCGATGATCCTAATGCCCAGTCGAGTTTGGGAACCACTGGTCTAGATTATCAAGAAGAGTTGCTCGAGTGAGCCGGGTTCAGCGGGAGGAAGGCCCGAGAGACTGAAGCAAGGTGCCAACTTCTCTGGGTGTGTTCAAGGTCTGCTGACCTAGTTTTAGCCTCTGTCCTTGGGCTCCGGGTCCTCTGCCCTTTCCAAAGAAATACTGAACCAGCTCAGACCACTGCATTGGCACAAGATCACACTTTAGTTCAGAGACACATTTGCATAAATACTTGAAATGGATCCACCCCTGCAGGTGGAAGCCTGAGAACCCGTGGCTCTCCACAGTCCTGCGACTCTGCAGCCCTGCAGGGGATGGATTTGAATACCGAGGACAGTCACGTTCATTTTTGAAGACAGCTCGGGGGCGCAGCTATGGCGCTTTGACATTCATCATAGACCTCCCCACTCTGCACCTCTCTTTTACTAATGTTTTTCCCCTCTGAGGTAGATTATTTATCGGGGAAACCAAAGAGGAAAAATTCTTTTTCATTTAACTCTGCTAGTCCTTTGCAAACAGGCTGAGTCTCCCGTTTGGGTCAATAAGTGCATTTTTTACCTTTTCACCTATAACCTCTACCTGAACCCGCACTAGGTCCAACCCACCAGATAGTAGACTTTAGGATCTATTGTCCCCATTCTCGTCTCCCCATTGTGAATTCATGCCAAATTGGAGTGGCTGTGGCAATGGCAGGCCTGGATAGGCCATGCCGCCTCCATAGGTCGGGTCACCGCAGTGGGTACTCCGGTCTGCACCCCAGCACCCCGAGTCCATGAGCACGAGACCGGCCCCACTCCCCCCCACCCCCCCACCCAGGGATCACAGCGGGCATGGCTGGGTTCCACAGGGCTTGGCATCCTCGGGTTTCAGAGCCTCACTGCAGGTGGCAGAGGCCTGGCCGTTGGGGTCCCGGCACTCCACGGTCCGCCGCTGCCGGCCAGCTCCGCAGCTGCTGGAGCACTCAGACCAGTCCCCCAGGACCCACTGCGCATTGAGCAGGGGCTGGATGACGTTGGTGGTCGCCCTCTCTTTGCTGTTCTGGGTGCTGAAGTTCACGTCATTCGGAACGAAGAAGGTATATTTGACTTTGGGGGGAAAGACCTCACCAGGGACAGTCAGGAGCTGCACGGTCAGAGGCTCGGGCAGGGGCCGGAAGCTCTGCAGCCGCTCCAGGGTGGCAATGGAACCGCTGTATTTAAGGATGGTCCCCTTCACCAAGATGTCCTGCTCTATGGCAGAGATGGCCAGGTTTCCATTGAGCAGGTACTGCCCATCGGCCGTCTTCAGCGCCAGGTAGCTGCCGTCGTGCTGGATCCCCGGGTGGCTTCGTTGTTTCACATCGATGTTAGTAGCACCAGCTGGGATGGTGACAATGTCGTTGTAGCCGTAACTACGGTAGGGACAGAAAGACCCCCTGAGGACCAGTGGCTACCCAGCCCAGCGCCTCAGCAAGTTAGCATGTTGGTGACTAGGGTGGGCGGTCACAAAGTGCTAGCAAATCATCAAGTGATTGCCCCAAAGTTCCACATAACTTAGCTGCTGGGGCCGACAAGAATGTTTTGTACATTGGGATTTTCAAGGGTTTTTGCTTTGCCTGGTAACTCGGCTTCAAATGTTTGGAGTTTGGATGTGTGGATCTGGATATCAGCACAGAGGAAGACATCCCAGAAGGGCTTGCAAAATTGCATCGGTCTTGCCAAACCCGACAGCTCTGGGCTCAAGTGAGATCTCAAACACACTCAGCGCCCTGCACGGGTATAAACCTTTGCTTGGCCCCCTTCATACCCAGAGTTCAAACCCATGTGGAAAAATCTGCTCCACACACCAGTTCCAGAATCCCACCAGAATGGACATCTTGCTCCACCTCTTAGAGCCAATCAGCCCCTACTATTTGGTTAACATGGCCCCAGGGCAGGAGCCCGGGTGATAAAGCTGCTTCTAGTTGCCTTCCTCCGTGTTTCAACTCTCTTGTAGGTCTAGAGCTTTACGTGGGATGGAGAAACCTTAGTTTTTATTCTTCTCTTCTGGGGCAGAAGTGTTTGGATTACATAGGCCGGGAGAAAAGCAAAGAAGATTGAGGACAGGCGGTCGGTTCTCTGCTACTCTTGCCTTCTGCCCACTCAGCTAGCTGCTGAGTCTAGGGTGGCTCTGAAAGAATCCACAGCCCCATATGTCTAATGCCTAAGAGAAAGCCAGCTAGCAGACCTGCTATCTGAATATCCCACACCACATGCTTCTTTTTTCTCTATCCTTTGAGTTTAACTTTGAAGACTGCCAAGTTGTCTGCTGTGGGCTGGTTCTGTTCTCCGAGGCCGACCAGGTGAGAGGTAGCGAGAGACAGAGAGGAGCACAGTGTGGCCACGTAACATATGCCCTGGCCCTTCCTCTCTGGGAACTGTGTGCCATGGCAGGAGAAAACCAGCCCAGGAATTAAGACACCTGGGCTCTCTTCCTGGCTGTTATTAACTATCAGTGTGACCTTAGGAGGGTCATGTGATCTTTTTGTGCCTTGGTTTCTTCATCTGTAAATGGGGAATAATAGTATTGGCTACCTGATGGACTTATTTTAGGAATCAAATGAGGCCATAGAAATGAAAGCACTTAAGAAAAAAAAAAAGAAATGAAAGCATTTCAGGACTAGGGGTTTCATGAACATACGGTGTTCAGGTGTGCGAAAGCGTCCAGAGTTCTCAGATTCATGAAAGCACTAAGGCCACCAAGCCCCCCCTCTTTGGACCCCCTCTTTGAAAGATCCACCTGCAGACAGGATGGGACTCACCAGGTGTAGGGTAAGATGTCCTTCCCAAAACAGGCCTGGAAGAGCCGCTTTCTGGCAAGGGCCCTGGTTACTCAGCATAGCTCTATTGCTGGTTGACTCAGAGCTGATACACTCCTATCCTCAGGGCCTCTGGCTGCCCTGTGCACTGTCCTCTCTGTGGGCCAGACCTTGTGCCAAGCGTTCCGCCCATCTCATGACTCGGTATGATGATTCCGAGATAGAAGGGACTCCCAAAGCTTTACAAAGAAACTACAGCTCAGGGCCACCTGGGTAATAAGTAGCTGCCACAATTCGCATTTAGGCCAGTCTGATTTGAAAGCCTGTTCCGCTCTTCTGGAACCTAGGCACAGAACTATGGTGAGACTCACCTGGAGGGGTTGAGGGAACCAGACACCTTCCTGCATGAATTGCCTTTGCCCCCACACACCCCACATTTGTCCAGCTTCCTAGGCGAGTCCACCACGTGGTCACAGCCAGCCTTGACACACTGGCCACGGACGCAGATGGCTAGAGTCTCTGGTCCACACAGGGTGCCATCGATCACCTGCGGCAGGGAAGCAGAAGGTAACAGAGGGTGTGGTGTGCACAGAGGCCACCCACAGGTGGGGTCGGAGCAGGTGGCCTTCCTCCCCACTTGTGGTTCTGAGCTCCAGAAGGACTCTTACCTTGGCCTCGAACACTTTGAATTCACTCCTCCCCCGGGCTCTGCAGAACAACTTGCAGCGGTCCCGGGGGGACACCCCCGCATACTTGGGGACCCACTGTAGGAGGTTCCCATCCATGTCAGTGTAATTGTAGGCATTATACTTCTCACACTGCTGCTCCCTGAAGCTTTTCCCTACAAAGAGTAAGAAACAGCATGCAGTTAACATGCCTTGCTGAAGCAGAGAGGACCCAGTGGCAGAAATGCCAGCATTCAGGGCCCCTTTCTTCCTCCTGGTTTTGACCCAATCCCAGGACATAGGTTCAGTGTCATCTGGGCCCCACATTCCTAGACACTCCCGACCTAGGTCCATGTGGCAAGGAACGGAGCATCCAGCCTCAAGCTGGGCTTTCTGGGATAAATATCCTTTCCATCTGGGGGAAGATACCAATTCTATCTTACAGATGAATAAACTTAGTAGGAACAGGGGACAATTCAGTAAGCTTGAATGATCCGTGGAGTATATTTTTGGGCCCCTGCTAATCATGCTCGATTTTGACTTCCTTCATGACATTTAACTGGTGACCAAAACTCTCAGATCGACATCTCTAGTTCTGATCTTGCCCCTGTAGCTCACCCGCTGTAATTCTGGATGTCTCCGGGGGACCTCCATGTATAGCAGGATGATTACCTTCAGCTCAGAAAAAGCCTAACCCCATATGGCTCCTCCACGGACTGGTTTAATTTTCATTTGGGGATACTGCCACATTCTGGTGTGAGACTGGCATCTGATATCTGCTGAACACTTGAGTATCTCCATCGACTATTTCCAACCTGTCCTTAAGTCCTACACTCTATTCATGACAATCTGCGATTTTAAGTGTCTCCTTCCCACTCTCACCATCTGAGTCCACCTCCCACAAGCCCAGGCCTCTCGGTTTCATGTGAGACCTAGTGCCCAGCCTCTTCTCCCATCCTGCTGCATGCTGCTTCCAGAACAATCTGTCGGAAGTAAGAAATGGGTTTTTTGTTTTTTGTTTTTTTTGCCCCACAATCCTGAAATTAAACCTGCTCTTACTACTGAGGTTCTCTACCCCTGCATCTCTGCATGGCCTGTGGAGACTTTTCAAAACACTGATGGCCATGCCCTACTCCTAAGATTCCGATTCAATGCATCTGAGTGGTCTGGGATGCTGTGTTTCAACAAGCTTCCCAGGTGACATGATGGGACAGCCTGCACGGAGAACCTCCAGATACCATTTCAGCTTTCACAGACCTTTGCTGTGTAGCCTTAAAATGCTAGTATGCTGCTTGACTCCACCCAAGTAAATGCTAGCCCCTCTCAAGCCCCCCCATCTCCACGCGGGCACATGTCCTCCCACACCCCGTCACCACTTCCATCCTCCAGGCCCTGCTCAGCCCTAACTCCCTGTGAAGCTTCGGACTAGCCCAGGCTTTTCCTTGCTCTGACTTCTTCATAAGCCGGGGGTCCGGGCCTCAGAGCTTAGGCTTTAGTTGCTTTGTAAAAGGCATGTGGATCTCTAACTAGATCGCAAGTTCTTTGAGGACAGAGACCATGCTTTGTACATTTTTACAATGTCATTTGTAACATCTATTATAGTTCAAGCCACACGAGAGGCACTAAAAACCACTTGTTGATGGAGAGGATGATCCTGGTGCAACTGAAATCATTCCGTCTACCTTGTGCCTTATCTTCATCCCCTCCCCTTCTTCTCTCTCTCTCTCTTCACCCCATGTGCCAGGCAAATTCTCACGATTCCAGGGCAAAGTTTCTAGAGCCGCATGCCGCTGCCAATCCTTCCTGTCTTGCAAAACTGCAAAGCCTACAGATTCCCTCATTAGACACCAACCCAATGTCAGTGTGTCTTTGCACTTGGATGCATCTCTCTTAAAAGTCTGCTTGTCTTTTGCCGCCTGCCAGTATTTCCTGGAGCTGCACAAAGGGGAGTTGGATGGGATGGTGGGGAAGAACTGCTAATGATTCCCTCTCACCAGTTTTGCTGCTACCCCTGCTGCCTCTGAGTTAATGTGTGTGCTTTCTAGTGGGTACCAGGAGGTAGGAATGTATGCCAAGGGGAGGTAGAGGCGGTGCTGCTCTCTGGTAAGGTTCCATCAGGCAGTTGCCACGGCCTCAAGGGAAGATGGGCAACTCTTCTCAGAAGGAATGTGCGTTAGAATCAGATTCAGAAACCCTCCCTCCACCCTGGGCTGAACGTTGGCTGGAAAGACAGTGGAGGTTTGGCTCTGACACTTGCTTTGGAAAACACTTCTATTCTGCACACAGACAAGGGTTCAGATGCCTCCAGGAGGATTATTATCCTAGATGCTAGCCCCTCTGCTGAGCTCCTCCCAACTCCTTGAATAAGTTTGGTTGGGAATGTCATCCTCTATTTCCACATCTTGGAAGATCGGGGCAATTTCTTTCCTTGACTTTGCTACACGCTCCCAGCACAGTGAGAGTTGTCTAGGGGCTGCTAGGCTTTGCCCTAAAACTTGGTGCCTTGCAGGGTCCATTTATGTCTGGCTCACAGGAAAGCTCTGCATCCCGGGAGACCCACCCTACTTCTTGTCTGGGGATCAGCTGCAGTGACAACAGTAGTGGCCATCAGTGGCGATTACCATCAGGGGGGCATTCCTCTGTGTGGCATGACTGATACTTGGCTCTCCGACCCAGGCAATATCTTCCTCCATTCTGAGGCTCAGGGTCCTTGCATTCACGGTGTGAAAACTGTACTCCTCCTCCGCAGGTCCGGGAACATTCTCCCCAGGGTCCCCAAGGGGCCCAGCCTCCATCCACCACAGCCTGCAACACACAAGGCCACCCTGAGTCAGGAGCGGGGGTGTGGGGGGGCTCAGCTCTCAGTGTAACAGGGGTCCCTGGCCCTGACCTCTTCACCTAGTTATGCTCATCCTGGTGGGTGTTGTTCAGTAAACTGCTCTAATCATTTGTTAGTGACTGTGTGGCTTGCTTGGCGATTGGCCTCTTGAACACAGAGGATGTGCCAGACTTCTTCACTGCTGACTCCCCAGTGTCTAAAACAGTGCCTTGCCATTAGTAAGGTGCTCGGTATTAGTTGTGGAATGAAACAACATTTTATGGGAATAAAGTTGTGTCTAATGCAGCAGTTCTCCATCAGGGCCGTTTTTATCCTCTGGGGACATTTGGCAATGTTTGAAGACATTTTGGTTATCACAGTTGGGGAGGGTGCATGCTGCTGGCCTTTAGCGGGTAGAGGTTGGGTGCCGCTAAACATTCAACAAGGAGCATTCAACAATGAACACCCACCATGAGCATCCAATAATGAGTATCCAACAATGAACATCCAATAACGAGCATCCAACAGCGAACATCCAACAGTGAGCATCCAACAATGAGATTCCAACAATGAGCACCCAACAATGAATACCCAAGAATGAGCATCCAACAATGAGCACCCAACCGAGCATCCAACTACAAGCATCCACCAATGAGCGCCAAACAATGAGCATCCAACGAACATCCAACAGTGAAGAAGATAGCCTCCTACAACCAAGACTTATGCAGCCCCAAATGTCTCTAGTGCCAAGGTTGAGAAGTCCTGGTTTAAAGGAATAATTGCTGGGAACTGTTGCTATTGGTCTACCAGCTACCAGTTCCAATGGTAGGATAATGCCTGGGAAATAATCAGATTTGCTTCCATCCTTACAATCAACCTATGAGAACAAAGCTTTGTCCTTGATTGGTTCACAGAGTTTTCAAAAGGGAAATAATTAAAAAAAATGACAAAAGTTGCTTATATAAAAAATGAAAAATACAGAAAAGTATAAAGAAAGAAAACAACACTTAAAAAAACCACTACCCAAATAAAATCACTGATGTGGTTTTCATCAATAACCTCTCACACTTTTGCTCTGAATAATCATAAAGATGTGATGTTTTAATTTTACATAGTTATGATTCTGTCATATATATAGTGTTCTATGATCTGTTTTTTGCCCTTAAAAATAGATGATAAACATCATCCCATGATCATTCCATGTCAAACTCTCCCTGCATTGAGCTTGGCTCTGGTGCCGAGGAATGTTGGACAGACCTCCTCCCCTCAGTAATGTGTGAAGCACGTGCTTTGGACGGGGTAGAGGGAGTCAGTACACAGAAGAGAAACTCAGTGTCTGAATGGGGAGGATGAGAAGTGGCTGAGGCTGAATCTGTGAATCCTGCCCTGGTTCAAGCTTAGCAAGAGTGTGCCTTACCTGGCCCAAGCAGGATCCTGAGCCTCAGGGCAAAGGACATGCCACTGAGGACAGCCCTCTGGAGAGTGAGTGCTCAGGCCACCCTGGTGATTCAGTGCTGGGCCCAGACCAGGCTGCGAAACTCAGCGGATGCTGTTTCATAGGCAGGGCTCAGTGACTTGCAGTAAGAGAAATGTGATCAGCCTCACAGTTTGGAAGTATTAAGAGCAGGGCAAAGAAGCGAATCACTTAAAAACTCTCGCTGGCATTGCCTTGGTTTTTCTTGTAAGTTTCCTCAGTCCTAGGCTAAGTTTTCTCTGCCTGGTCAGAGACAGCTTGATTCCTTCTCCCCTCCTGAGTATGGAATTCCCACAATTAGTCTCATTCTCCTGACCTCTGAAGATGAACGCAGCTCAGACATGGGTAGGTTATGAATACTTTTCCCTCAGCTCTTGACTGAATGAATGTTCCTCTTCTGCCATCACACTATCTGTTTATAATGGAATTCATAATGGCCTCCCTTTATTGAACGGCCACGATCTGGTCTTTGTGCTGGAAAGCTTCATGCCTATCACCTGTCCTCATAAGCCTCCTAGTCCACCCCGGAACAATTGCAGGGGGGAGTTCTCAGAAGGCCCTGAGCACTGGTGGTGTCATCCATCTGCTCTGAGTCCAGCCTCGAAGGGCTCCTCTTGAGTTTGGGTAAACATGCTTTGCTTCGTTTGTTAAAAGACGAATGATTTTACTTAAGACGTCATAGTCGCAGCCTGGCCCAAAGGCTCTTAGTTCATGGCTCTCAAGTGTGGTTTCTTCCTTGAAAACAGCCCTCCCCCTCCCTCTCCTCCCACACTCCCAAGTGGCCATCCCTCACCTTGGGCCTGTCCACTTCCTCCTCAGGCAGACAGCTGCCATCCCAGCAGAGGTGCCCAGGCCCACAGGGCGTCCCATCAGCCCATGGCAGACTGCCATTCTTCGTGTGGCAAAGGGGCTCGGTGCCATCCATGTGGCACCAGAGCTGGGCGCAGATGTCCTGTGCAGAGGTGTTGGGGCAGTGGCGGAAACCCAGCCCAAAGATCTGCTTGCACTGCTGGTCCAGCTCATAGAGGGCCCTGCGGCCTGGCAGGTCTGTCGGGAGGGGCAGGGCCGAGGTGGGGGCATCCAGGAGACAGTCTCCTGAGAAATGGAGGAAAGCAGAGGAACAAGAATGAGGAGCAGGGGTTTCCCTCTCTCAGCTCCCTAGTGGCCTCCCACATTACACTTAAATTCCTGCTGATGGGGTGTAAGGCCTAGCCATCATAATTTCTTTGACCATAAGCTAAAAACTGTCAACACTCAATCATCTATATGAGCTTATCCAATTTTTGACTATCAGTTAAGTAAAATTTTATTAGGATTGAATTTTTTTCTGTTATCCAGAACATCTTATATACATTAAGTGTGTACCTAGGGAATGCCAGCTAACTGTAATACTAATCTACAGCACACAGAATGGGGGATGCAAATACGCTCTCAAAAACCATGGCAGGCAAAATAAAGCCTAAGTACTGATGTTTGGATAATCTATTACTTTTGTATCTTAGGTGCCCCTGTCTCCTTCGATGAGAACAATCAAGAGTAAGTTGTGTTTTCACTGCTTTACTGAATAAGTCCAATGGTTTTAACCCGGCATGCCACCCACCCCCATCCCCCACCCTTGCTGTCACACTGACCTGTTCCCTGCCTCTTTGCCATTCCTAAGCTACAGCATGATCTATCTCTCCAGCCGGGATGCTCTCTTCTCTCCTCTGTACCGCGTTCTTTCATTCCTTCAAGCTCTGTTCAAACCCACCTCCTCCAGACTAATTCTACCGGCTCTGGGACTAATCATCTAAATTAGCACAGCACGCTGGCCGCTGGAAGATAGGGCAAGAAAGAGTATGCTTTGTGGGGATGGTTAGCCTGCCACAGCACAGGAGGAGGCTGGGTGAGGAACACCTCTCCGACATCTGTTCTATCCGAAACGTCTCTGATGCTCTGTGAAGGAGCTCCACCAGAAATTGCACGGGTGCCACTAGCACTCTAGCCATCATGGAGGCGGGCGGGGCAGACCTCAAACACCAGCAGCGGGCCAGAAAAAGCAGGGAGAAGCCTGCGGGACACCTACCGTGCCCACCGTCCAGGAGCTCCGTGAGGTACATGGCACTGCAGGGAGACCAGGGCAGCGTCTTGTTTAGGTGGATGAAGAGCGGCGCCATCATGTGGTGCTTGCCCATGGGCCCAAAGAGCCGTGTGCAGGGCTTGGAGTCGTCATGGGGCATGCTGAGGACGTGCCCTGGGGTGGAGAGAGACCTGAAGTCCACCCTAACCAGTCTCCACTGCCCTCCAGCCCGCCCTGTCCCACCCCAAGAGCTCCCCACACAGCCCAGCACCCCTCTCCCTCTCTCTGGCGAGACAGCCACCCTCTGCTGACAGAAGAGGGCGTCTCGGGCCAACCAGTCACCAGCTCCTCATGGGGATGGCCATGCCCTTCTGCCTTAAAGATTTTTGTCTGGGGCTTCACTCTGAGCTTTTCTCTTGCAGAAAACTTTCTCAGAGTACCGGGGGAACCTTGATATCCCTTTGTTTTCAGCCTCAGCCTGTCCTCAATAATTCACTCCCTGACACAGCACTCTCTTTACAATTGATTTCCCCAGAATTCTTACTGTGACTGCTTAGCTTGGGCAAAGCATCGTAGCTTTACCCGAGCATTTGTTTCATTTTGGCATTTTCCTGGGGACCCCTGATGATGATCCAAGGCCCTATTTTAATATTACGGCCTCATGCTCAGGGTGGGAATGGAGAAAGTACGGTATCTATTTACATATAATCACTCTGTCAGAACTCTGAGTAGAATCTGTGCAAGAGTGAGAGCTGCATCTTCCTTAGACCCTGGGCTGGCCTGGGTTTGGAAGAGGCAGTTCCCCCGACAGAGTACAGTAGGCCTGGCACGGCAAGTCTTACCTAGCTCATGGGCCAGGGTGTAGGCCGCCTGGAGCCCCTCATCCTCGATCACAGAGCAGCTCTTGTTGGGGTCGCAGATTGTGCCAATGTCCGCCACACCCAGGGTGTCACACATCCCCTCCTTCCCACAGAAGTTCTGCTTGGCCGAGAGAGGGAGGGCATGAGAACAGACATACAACAGAAAATCTTCCTATTTCTGCTCCTCCTGAGTCAAAGGAAATTTTTTTTTTTTTAGAGAGGGGGAGAGCGAGGGAGGGGACGAGAGAGCATCTCAAGCCGACTCCATGCCCAGCAAAGAGGCTGACATGGGGCTCGATCTCACAACCCCATCACCATGACCCGAGCGGAAATCAAGAGTCAGACGTTGAACAGACTGCGCCACCCAGGTGCCCCTGAAGGAAAATTGGTAAGCCGAAGGCCCTATTTCTTCACAAAGGCTACTTGCGTGAGGAAGCCTGTTTCTTTTTCTACACTGGTGTGTCCTAGGGCTGGCTGGGACTTCGTGTCCTAGAGTTGGCATGTCCTAGGGCTGGCTTGTTTTGGGAGGCAGGATAGCACAGTGCTGAAGAGTACTGACCCTGCAGCAAGACTGCCCTAGGCTTGACTATGGGTGCCACCACTGTGTGTGTGGGGGGGCAATCTATGCTTCAGGTTCCTGAGTTGTAAAATGGGGCTTGGTGGGGTTGTCCTGAGGACTGAAGGCGTCAACAGGGCAGCACATATTATTAGATTTTCCAGCCTTCAGGAAGCCATCTGTTTCAATTGCACCAGCGAGGAGGGCAGGCCTCCTGATTTGGAGAAATCTCAAGGTGACCCCCAGTTCCCTGCCTCTGTGTTTAACAGTCATTGTAGATGGACCTTCTCTCTACATTCCAACTCCAGATCTTTTACTGGGCAGTTTGAGCCCATTTCCTCTTGTTATGACCTCAGTAGACAGCTGGTCACAAACTTTTGGAAAAGAGCCCTTACGAGATTCCTCTCCTTCCCTTGCAAATACCTCACACTTGTCCTCATGACCTCCCCCTCATCATTCCACACACGAGGCTCCTGGTGTCCAGCTGGGGCCAGCAGGGAGACATTTCCCATGTTTGGGCAGGCCTCATGGTCCTCCCTTTGATCCACCCATCCTGCCTCCCTTCCTGCCTGGGCTCTCTGGAGCCAGCCCACAGACCTGTCTGGTGAGCAGAATGGCTGTGTCAAAGTGTTCTGGGTGCCGGTCACTGGGCTGGTTGAAACGCCGCTGCCAACTGCAGAAGTTGCGCAGGGTGAGCCCCCCGTTGTCAGACACTTCCGGGCCCCACTTTTCATCTTCCACGATCAGCACTTTTACCACCATGAGATTGATGGAGTTTCTAATACTGGGGTGCTTGTAGATTCGGGCTGCCACGGACATCAGCGTCAGGATGTGGTTCTGTAGGGAAGACGGGAGCAGGGGGAGGGAACGGTTCGGTCTCCCCGCCCGTGGCCTGCCCGCTGCCACCCCCCTCCATGTGCTGGGCTCTGCGCTGAGCGCTGGAGATAAAGCATCTTGCTGAAGACTCACAAAACCCCGGAGGTCCCAGCGTTATTTCCCTTCATTTTACGTATAAGAACAGGGAGGCTCAGTAACTGGCCCAAGATCCCAAAGCTAATGAACGAACAGCCAGGCTCTGAACCCAGATGGCCGGGCTCCAAAGCTTGTGCCTTTAACATCTCAACCAGACACATGTGGCTGTGTAAATCGAAGTTAGTTAAAATTCAATAAAATGGAAATTACAGTGCCTCGGTCACACTGGCCATGTTTCAAGTACATCAGTAGCCACCTATAGCTCAAGGCTTCTGTATTAAACAGAGCAGACAGGACATTTCCATCATCACCAGAAAGTCCTATTGGACTGCACTGGTTATTATCCTGCCTTAACTCTGACACCAAGCAACTTCCTGCCAGCCCCCCTGCCCGCCCGCCCCCCCGCCACCGCCCCATCCCCTCTCTGTTCTCAGCCCAGAAGCAATTATTTGAGTGTTCAAGGTTAGTAGAATGTGTCCCTTAGAATCCAGTGGAGCATTTTCCTGATGCCTGCTGGGGTAACTTCTACTCTGCAGGATGGGCCCTGTTAACCCTGAAATCATTCCCGTAGTCACTAATAGTCTGCACCTGTCACCAGACCCGCACCTCATTAAACGCTCACACTCACTCTGTGAAGTAGGCAATGTCATCCTGGGCTTACAAATGAGGGAGAAGAGGTTCACACGAGTTAAACAAGCTGTCTAAGGTCACACAGCTCTTAAAGCCGGGACACCAGCCCAGGCACGTCTGTCTCTGAGGCCTACGCTCTTCAAATGAAGTTTCCCAGGGCTTGACTGCTGGGTTTCTGGACAACCCCGAAAGGGTTCTTCTTTTCTGCCAGGGGCTTGAGAGGGGGCAGTGGGCCTAATGAGACCCAGGCGCAGAGGATCACACCTGCTTCCAGTTTTGTCCAGACCAGCTGAAGGAGTTCACATCATTGCTGGGCCTCTGTCCTATCCCTGGGTTGCCAACTACTCCCAAGGCCTTGGAGGTGGCCAGATGGAGCTCACTCTTCTGCCTCAGGGACCTCTAGAAGTGAGTCCTCTTGGATTGTTTTGCAGGAAAGAAAGGGGCAGGGGCACGCAGGCCTTCAGCTGGGAGCGTGGCCAGCCGAGCTGCCATTCATTTGCCCCCCGCTCCCCATTCCCTAGGGCACCATCTCCCGTCAGCCTTTCTTTTTTTCTCTCCTGTGGTCTGGAAGGTAGGAGGAGAAGGAGGGGAAAAGAGGGTGAAAGGCTAAAGAGGGACACTCCGTCGGTTGAGGCCATGTGTGGGCGTTCCAGACGAATCCTATTATTTGTGAATGGGATCTGTCTGTTCACCTCGCGGGCAACAAGCCAGGTATTTTGTAAGCCCTACAAACAGGGGTTGGCAGGTTTCTTAGCGTGTCAAGCACTCTAGCTATGTTTAGGCTGATGTAAACATCTTATCAGCAAAGCTGAAACTTGGCACTTGCTCCTAGAGCTGGATTCCTGAGGGAGAAAAGCAATCACATCATTATGCAACTGGGGGTGAGGGCTGAGGAATGGGAGCTCGCTGAGACTACTTCCTGGCCAGGCCTTTGCTGCTTCCAGGGGGCAGACAGAGTCTCCTGCTCTCTTGCTCTAGGAAGGGTCGAATCTGATGGGCCAGGGACCAAGCCGTGGAATTTCTTCAGAGGCAACCTGCAACTCTCCTCACAAGATCTCTTCCCTTTGAGTCCCAGTTTCACAATCTCAAAATTGGGAAGACAATGTTTTACAAAGAAGGTGTTACCACAAGAGATACCAGCTGCTCAGCATCGGTCCTGGCAGGCTTGAGGTTTAAGAGGGCTCGGCGTTCTCAAGCTGACCAGATCAGACTGAGGCTCCGGGGCAACGCGGCTGAGTGGGGACCACGCACTGGCCACGCCCCCAGTGAAAGCCAAAGGCACACGGGTGTCAATTTCTGCGCAAAGGAACGAGGTGAGGCATCAGGGGAGTCTTCCCAACATTAAGATTTTCAGAGAGCCTCCCTTGCGGTTCAGGGAGCTCAGAGCATCTTCTCCGGGCACTAAATACCTGTCAGGCTGAGAGGGCTTGAGGGCCATTTCCCTTCAAGGCAGATGGTTAGAGTTGAGAGCTTTTGGATGTCCTTCTGGTTGCTATTTCAGAAGATAATTTCCATTGCAAGAGAGCTGCAAGGTCTGTGTGGTCCAGTGTTTCTGTTAAAGTCCCCAAACCTGGTCCTGCTCATCTCCCTTTTCGTCTAGTCTCGCTGAGGTTTTGGAGGTGGGAAGCACTGCTATCCCACTGTTAGCTCCTCTAAGAAACCATGGCAGGAATGCCTGACATTTGCAGTGCATCTTACAGTTCCCTCGGGGGAGGGACCTGGTGGGGGCAGTGGCCGAGAGAGTCTGTGAGCCTCCGAGTCTTGGCAGTACCCTGGGCCAAAAGGCCAGGCCTGACTTACAGTTCCACAGAGAGAGGGCTCAGGAGCCAGTCGAGAAGAAGGTCAGACAGCTCACTCCACCACCTGGTGTCTATTTATACTTCTTTGTGCACCACCCAAGTGTGGGCTGCTTGCTGAAGAATGTGAACAAGATGGCGCCCCTGGTGGAGTGGGGGTCCCAGCACAGCAGACAACCTCCAAGAACCATGTCAGGTAGGTGGGAGCCCATGACCAGCCTGGCCAGGGGTGGTCAAACAACCCTGCTCTTGAATGACTTGGGGACCTCATGCCCTTAATTCTCATTAGGAAAAGACACAGCATTTTTTAAGGGAGTCTCCTTCTTCATTGGTGCCCCTATGACCTGAAGAAGAGAAAGAAATGCCCTAGGCAGCTAGGCTGGGATGCAAGCCCTCTTTGATTCTTTGTGATACAACTAGGGACAGTCCTCCCCCGGAGCTCCCATGGCAGCCAAAGCCAACTGCGGGGAGAATCTAGAAGTCTGGGCCTGGGCCAAATGCATTTCTAGCAGCTCCTTCTGCTTAGAGTGTTATCCCTATGCTTTGCTCTTTTGCTCTTCATACTGTGCTTCCCATCGCTTCTCCTTGCAGCATGCCTGGGAGAGGCAAGGAGAAGAAGAGTGGCCACATGGAAACCTTCTGACCTCAGCAACTGGTGCCACACTTTTGCTACTGGGGGTCTCTCTAGGGCCCAAGACTGCTGAGGAGGTGGTGGAGAAGCAAAGAAGAGTAAAGAAGCAATTGGAGAAAAGAGAGGGTCCTGCACCAATGTCCTTCGTCTCTCCTCGTTCTCAAAATAGCAAGGGGCAATGTCATCTCTCCAAAACCACACACACTTACCACAAGGAGTCAAGCTTAAACATTCTGAGCCGAGCAAGCTGAAAAGGAAGGTCTCCCTGCTGCGTGGGACAGCAGAGTTGACGTGGCAATGGGCTGACTGTGAAGGCATGTCCTACTCTGACAAACGCCATCACCAAAGGCAACTCCGCTATTAGCTACGCTTTACTGAGCACCTACTATGTGCCAGGCACTGGGTCAGGCGCTTTCCATATTTTATTGTATCCTCAGGGTAATGCTGGGACATTGGTATAACTGTTCCTATTTTTGCTGGTGAAGAAATCAAGGTACAGAGAAATCGGTAACTTGCTCAAGGACACTCAGCTTATTTCGATGACCCTTCAAAGTATATGCTCTTAATCACCACACTGACTGCCACCTATCGTTGCTGCTACAAGGACAACTGCAGCAGAGCCAAAGCAAACCCAGAGCATGCCAGCAAACAAGCTTACCCCTGGCATCGTCTATACCTGCGGAGGCAGAGGTGGTAAATCAAAGACCTTGGAATATGAAGGCATTTTCTTTGGGAAAAGCCTCATATTGTTGATCATTCTGACTGCAGAGAAATGAGAAAGGAGACAGAAAAGACTCATCCTCTTGCTGGGAGGGGAACAGAGTTCACACACAGATAGAATACAGGTCTTTCCCCCGTGAGGATGCAGGTAGCTACAGAGCAAGTGGGGCATGCGTCTGCTTCTGTCAATATCCAAACCAGGACGCTTTTGAGAGCGAAGATGATGCTATTAATAATCATGCCAGAACAGGCCTAAGTGGGGACTGTGCTGGGAGATGTGGTCCCTTTAGCGTTAGGGCTTGTGGGAGACATTTTCCCAGAGGATATGGGTAAGGGGGAGATGGAATGTCTGGGATTTAACCCTTCCCTGAAATCACTTGCTGGTAGCCTGACATCTTGGGGATCTTCTGGTCTCTGGGGACGAGGAGTGCCACTTCCCGGACCCTCTCTGCTGAGCAGAGAGTTCAGAGTTCAGCTGATACACTGGCGGGATGGATTTCGAGTCCGCCGTGGGGCACGGCCCAGCCCGCCACTCACAGCTTTCCTGCGGCAGCTTCGCCCAGGCAACAATCAGAGGCAGTCCGATGCAGACAGAGTTAATGGCCTCTTCCGAGGTGGTCCCTCCTTTCAGAAAGCCCCCTTTGTCTGAGCTCATTAACTCTGAAACCAGATAAGAAGGTGGGAGGCAGGGGCCCCTTCTGTCAAGGGATTAAGTGAACTCAAGTGTACAGAGTTCTGGAAAACTTCATTGTCGCTTCACAGTGTGACCAGCCTCGAGCGTGGCTAATTCTTTCTCTTGGCCTTGAAGGTGGTTTCTTCCCAGGATAGGGCCTCCCACTTTGGCTGGGCATCTTTGGACTGCTGGATTCAATGCCCCATTCCTACAATACAGACAAGTGTAGGGGGTAAGCAGAGCCACTGTCACAGACCCTCCTCGGGCTAAAGAAACCTCATGGCACAGTAAGAAAGAGCACTGCTCCCAGGTTCAGGAGACTTGGGTCATGACCCAGCTCTGCCACTTACTAGCTGTGTGACCTTGAGAAAGCCACAGATTCCCTGTGAGCTGAACCTTCTTCCTCTGCCTCTCTCACTGGTATTTCTGCTGAGGTGATGCATGCAAACCATTGTGCAAATTGAATGCACTCAGACAATGGCTGAACTTTCTAGAAGACTCATCATGAAGCAGCCTCACTGATGCTTATATTAGTCCTGATGAGCAGCGTCTGGCTTCACAGAGGAGGAAATGCAAGCCCTCAAGGGGGTGAAGTCTCTTCATCCTTACTTACACCCCTGGTTGCTAAGACACCCCAAACTGCCTTCCACCCGTGTGAACGAAGTCTCCAGGAGGTTCCTTGAAGAATAAAGAACTGGATTCTATTTTGGGCAGGCAAGGTCTTGGGGAACTATAACTTGACATTCATTCTTGTCTTGGCTGAGCTCATGGACCTGTTAAGGAAGCCCAGGGGATTGAGCTGAGAAGTTCAAGTCTATCCTGTGGCATCTCCACAGCTGGTGAGCAGTCAAAGCAGAGGGGTCAGTGGGAGGTCACAGAAGCAGCCGTGCCTCAGTCCCTGCCTCCTCCCAATATGGCGACAGCAGGGGTATAAATGGGCAGTGACATAAGAAGACCAAGGCGGGGTGATGGAGCTGGTCAAGCCAAGAGAGCACTTTTCCTTCGGGTGTAGGACCCGGAAGTAGATACCCTACGGAAAGGACCTCAGCCTACACAGGGGCCTGATGTCCTTTCCTGACCCACATAGGCTGGCTGGGTGCAAGGAGTGTGTGTGTGAATGGTCCAGAAACGGTGTGTGTGGAGGGAGAGGGGGTGGGACAAGCATGCACTGGGTCATCCACCCAGAAATCTATAAGGGTAGGAGCACTCCGGGGTGTCTCTGTGAGGAGAACCTGGGGCAAACCCAGCCCAGCCAAATACCTCCTTGAGGCAAATACTCAGTGTCTTAAGTTACTGGGTGATGATGGGCTGAGAGAGCTAGATGGCAGGAAGGCACTAGAGAAAACATTTTGGCTCTGAAGCCTGAAAAGTCCTTTTTCTGCTGCTTCTTTGTGTTCTTGTCATCTTTCCTACCTCCTGGTTCTTAGGCAGACGTCAGAACCTGGTCCCTGCCTGGAGACGGGCTCAACCATCTCAGCCTTGGGTTTGCAGTGATTGTACTTTTAACCTCTCTTTGGTCAAGCCCCCTAGTAGCCAGGTGTGGTGGTCCTAACCTGCGATGGGAGAAGCCCCACTAGCTACGCTCTTGAGGACTTGCTTGAGGAAAAGGAGTCAGAGGAGTCAGCTGGTGCCTCCCCCCTGCTCTCAGGGTAGTCATGGAAACAGATATTCAATCTTCATAGACCCGAAGCCCATTGGGAAGACCACACTGACTGCTCAAAGTTGCCTTACCGTGCTCTGGGAGAAGTGAATACTCCAACAGTGTGCAAAGGAGCCTGCTCCTGCAGGAGCCAGAGAAGCAGCCCACATGGACCTCTCACCTCTAGCTCTTCCCATCCTTCCATCTGGATGCGCTTCCCAGTGATTGCAGAGTGATGAAGATGGTGTGCATCAACTAGACTGTTCTGCACAGGTGATACGGAAGCACTCGATGCCCCCAACAGTTGGGCATAGGCTGAGCCTGGAAGAGGGTCACTGGCCAAGACTGCCATTATTGAAAAAGCATTAACTGAGCTGCGGCAGTGGCCAGGATCTCTGGCCACTGGGCAGGTCAGGTCTTCTCTACCTGGCACACCTCTGGTTTTGTGCTCCCCAAGGGAAGAGAAAGTATAGCCCTCCCCTAGAACCCTTGTACTTCACCCGGTTCTTGGGGGAGGTGTTGGGACATAGGGTGACACAGACTCCCCCTGCTGAGTCTGCACCACCTCTGAATCTAGTTAGACATGGTCTGGCTACAGGAGCTGTCCCCTGAACTCAATTTTCCTGCCCAAGTTCAGTAGAGAGCTGTGTCTGGGCTGAGAGCAGCTGGGGTGGACCAAGCAGAGTTCTGGCTCCACAAGGAACATTAACTGAAAGCGTTCATATGCCCTCCCTTTTCCACTGAAGCTTCAGTTTCCCAGGCTGAGCCCCCAGGCAGAAATTCTGTTCCCCTCCCTTTTTGTGCTGATGCTGGCACTGCCAAGTTCGGCCGGGGCCTAGTGCCAGGTTGGCAAGGTAGTCCATGCCCCTTGATCAGAACCAGCTGGGCACACAGAAGTTGGGCAGCCCCTTTCCAGGTTCAACTCCCTCCAAACAATATCTTTTACTTATGGCAACCTCAGTTCTGTCCGCAAAGGGAATGAAATAGACACATCTTTCCGTCCCAGCTGACTATCCTTGGGAACCTCTCAGGTCTGGAGACAGTAGAGGGCTGAGAAATGGAGGATAGGGTGGATGCTCTTCCAAAATGTCCAGTTTTCATCTCTGTTGGGAGAGGCAGGTGCCTGGGGGAGGGGGGTGCGCTTTTAAACCCACTTTTAGTTCAGTTTGCCAAGTGCTGAAGGAGATTCAGGATGCCAGGGGTGAAGGTGAGTGGCAGAGATCAAGGAAGCGCCAGGACCTCCACTCTATACTGGAAGGGACACCGGGGAGAGGGGCAGTAGGTAGCCCAAGGGTCAGAGGTTAAGAAAAGAGTTACTGCGCTTTCTCAGAAGGGAAAGAACCTTGTTTGGGGTCGGTCTTGGGAGGATGAGGAGCGTGAAGGATTTTCTCAGAGGAACTGGAAAGGGGAGATTTGGGAGGCTCTAGGAGGTGACTGGGGGCCTCCAGGCAAAGTGAGTCCTACCTGTAGGTCGGCTCCATAGAAGGCAGCCATGGATGCATCGGCCACCAGCAGCGTTTCCACGAAGCGAGCCTCGGACACAAACCGCTTGGTCCTACTCGTGGACCCCAGGGGTGGTGGGAGATCGCGGGCGCCTTCTGCCTCCTCTTCTTTGCCCCCCTCCTCCTCCTCCTCCATTTCCTCCTCCTCCTCCTCCTCCACCTCTTCCTTCTCCTGTTCCTCGTCTCCTCTCTCCTGCCTCTGATCCTCTCCCTTCACCTCCCACTCGGGTCCTCCGGGGAGGGGGTGGGCTTCGGAGGAGGCGAGCCCGGGGGTCCCGAGGCGCGCCCGAGGCCCCCAGCGCTGCAGGCGGTGCGGCTGGCGCAGGGAGCCCCCCGCGCCCTGCGGCTGGATGGTGAACTCCTCGCCGTCCAGCAGGAAGGAGCCGCTCAGCCCGCGGCACAGGCTGACGGCCGCCAGCGACTCGGGCTCCCCATTCACCGTGCCGGAGAAGAAGCAGTCGCGCAGCTCCCGCTCGCCCCCGGCCGCCCGGCCGGAGCCCCCGAGGCGCTCGATCTTGAACTCGGGCGCCAGGAAGCTGGCGTCGGGCGCCAGGCGCAGCACGAAGCCCTTGCCGAAGGCGGACAGGTGGAACGCGAGCTCGCCCGCGCTGCCCGGCAACCGCGTGGGCTCCACCAGCTCCGAGGCCTGCCCTCGGGCGCCGGGCCGGGCCGGGGCGCCGCGGGCGAGCGGCGGCGGCGGCGGCAGCAAGAGCAGCAGCAGCGGCAGCAGGAGCGGCGGCCACCGAGGGGCGGCGCGGGGCATGGGGGCTCCGGCTGCGGCGCGGGAGAGGGAAGAAGGCGGCCCGGCGCGGGCAGGTGCTGGCGGCGCGAGCGCAGCCCGGCCGCTCTCTCCAGGAAAAAGCAAATGAATCAGCTCGCTGGCCGACTCGGCCAGTGGGGGCCTGGCGGCGGCGGCTGCGGTCCCCGAGCGGCCCCTCTGGCTGGCGCAGGCCGCTCCTCCCGCGCCCGCCCGCCGAGCCGAGCGCGAGCAACTGGCGCCCCGGCCCGCGTGCGCCGGTCCTCCGCCCCTGCCCTGCGCGCGGTCCCCGCGCAGCCGCCTCCTGCCTCCTCCCCACCCCGGGAAGCACCGAGTGGGCTGCCGAGCCCTTCGTATTTATACTTCCTTCCCGGCTTTGACATAAGAGGTTTATTTTTGATCTCTCACTATTCCCGTTTCCCCTCCCCTGGGATCAGAGAGAGAAACTGAAAAGAGGGAGCGAGAGAGGAGAGAAAAAAATTTTTGGATGAAATGTAAAACCAATCAGGAGTCAGCAAGACTCGCCCCCCCCACCCCCCTCCGTAAGTGTCATCTCCAACTTTTTTCCCCTTCCCATTACGCGCGGTCCCACATTAACTCCTACAATGCTGGACTGGCCCTTCAGGCCGAGTCCTTCGGGAGGCCCCAGTCCCTACCTCCTTTAAGGCCAAGTGCCCAGGAAAAGAGCCTCCAAGAGGCTCCTGCACTGGCCCCAGAGACAGTGTTCCCATCCCTGCAGAGTCACTCTGGGGATCCGACAGTTGTAGCTCTGGTGTTGGGGATCCGATGTGTAGAAGAGAGGTCTCCGGAGAGGTTCCAGAGCTTTTCATTGTAAAGCAAAAGAGGGAGGCAGGAAAGGTCATACTAAAATCCTGCTCCCTACTAAAACCCACATTTTCATCGCCAGCTTCTGATCGGGGGGAAAAATACCACCTGGTTAACACAGCCAAGGACTCTGTTACTTGCCTTGCCCAGGGGCTGCAGGGCAGAGCCCAGCACAGTGGTTAATTATCAGCGGTGTGGTTGGCAGCAAAGTGGAATCACCCCAGAGGGAAGGTAAGCGTTTCCCTAGGAGGGCAGCAGATCTTCAGGAACTGCACGTTGGGCCCTGAAAACTTTCTGTGAGTACTGCTCAGGTCCCTAGGGGGCGTCACGAAAGGTTGCAAGCTCCCTCTCATGGCACTGTCCACAGCTGTGGGTACAAAGGTGTGAGAATTGATTTCTCCTGCCCCACCCTGCCGTCTCCCCCTAGGATGAGGGGGGTTGCAACCCAGGGAGAGGAGTGGCATGATCTGCCATCTCCACGGAGGACCAAAAAACCCAGCAGTTCATGGCACCCTCATCTTAATGGCACAGCTCTGAATCGGATTCAGTGTCTTGTTCTCTCTAAGGATAGGCTCTAGATTCGCCCCTCTCTGCCCTTGCTCCAAGTTGTCAGTGTGGGAGATTCACTGGGACCGGGACCTTTAAGTCCTCTGCCAGCTCACCTATGCCCAGCTACCCAGTTCTCTGCCTGTGTTGGGAGTACTGACAGTTGAGGTCCTTCCTGCTTTTTAGCCCATCAAACTGACAGCTATGGACGTTCAACATGCATGTGAGACCCTCAGGGCTTGTCACCTCCAAAGAGGAGGCTCTCACAAATACAAAAGTACTTTTGTGACTACAGAACCAGGGGTAAACCCTGCCAAATTCCCTCCAAGTGTCCCCTCTGTCTACTCTCAGAAATGCGGAAGGATGGCTTTCAGTTAGACGAAAGGATGAACTAGCAAGCTGTGGGATTGTTTTTCCAGGATAATTTACAAGATGGGAATAACTCGAGTCTCGGATGTTTTGGGGAAACACTTCTGGAGAGAGGGGTATGGAAAGAATGGCCTCTACAATCCTTTTCCAAAAAGGAGCAAAGTGCTGCACCCCAGCACAATGGCGTGATAGTCCTGGGAGAGTCTGACCTGGATAGGCAGTTGAGTCATCCTATTTACTTCCTGCCTTTTGTAACATTTTGATCATTGGCCTTTGCTTCTTGAAGCCCCTTATCACCATCTCCCAGAGTAAATCTCCTGATTTTCAATAGCAATTATGTCCTATACATTTCCCTTCTTTTTCCTCTGTAAGCATCTGAAAGGAGAGGGATGGGGCCATTGTGGTTCATACCGCTTCCTCTCCTCTGGAATGTATGAATAACTCCAGGCAGGAGACTTATCCAGAGCAGGGAAAGTCTTGAATGTCCTTGGAGCCCTCTGGTCTCAGTTGTCCTTCCAGTCCTCTGAAGTTATTTATTTTTTCAATAGAATGAAATGCCCCTAAAGACAGCCCTTTGGAGAGAGAAGTCAGACAGTGATCTGTGGACTTTATCCTGCCCCACTTCAACAATAACAACAGCTGCTGGCTGGCTCACTGCTGAGTTGAATCTGCATGGCTGCCCCCTTCTGGATTCCTACTTCCCAGGAGATGGGCCTTGCTGGTTAATTTCCAGGGTGGCACCTGCCACTTGCAGAGCTACCTCAAGGTGTCAGGCTTGCCTTACTTATGCTTAAACCCAGTGCCTGCCCTTGCCCTAGGACTGAGAAAGGGTCCCTGGTTTGTGGAGAAAACCCTTCGGAAAATAGTAGATGAAAACAGTACAACAAAACAAACACCAACCAACCAACCAACCAACCAGTGAAAATCCCAGAGGGGTATTCTGCTAATTCTGGATTTCCTACATTATCACATTCTTTCCCAAAGTATGTAATTACTGCAAGGGATGGCAAACCTTGGCCCATCGGCTAAATCCTACACTCCCCATTTTTGTATAGCCCACAAGCTAAGAATGGTATTAACGCTTTTTAAATGGTTGAAAAAAATGAAAAAATAATTCATGACACTTAAAAACAGTATGAAATTCAAATTTTGGTGTCCACAATTACTGATCTATCGGAATGCAGTCACAGCTATTCATTTACACATGGCTGTTTTTGAACTACAAGGGCAGGGTTGAGTGAGCCTAAAATATATTTACTGTCTGGTCCTTTGCAGGAAACGTTTGCTGACTCCTCAGTCATAGTAAAGCAGCATTAGCTTGGAGTCCTCACATTTGGAATATGGGATTATTTAAACTCACTACATGATTTTTTACAGAATGAGAGGCTCAAAATAATTTCTCAGTGTGAATATAAAGGAAATTATATGAAAGTTGAAATTCAAATATCTATGTTTGTGCTTGATTCTGTATCTAGCAATTATTCATTATTTAATCAGTCCTTAAATAATGAAAAGACTTTTATGTTTATGCTACTTTATATTGTAGGGCTATTGTGAATTTTAAGTTTTTAATTCTACTATTGGTCACTGGTTATTTCTTAGTTCACAACTGGAGTTTTACAGAGTGTATATTATACATTTATTGTGTATACTAAGCTCTGGTATTGTCTAGAACCTCCTTCTAGAACCAGGTTGGAAGACACATAAGTGGTCATCTAATCCACTTGCACTCTCATTTTGCAGAGAAGAAACAGAAATGCAGAGGTTTTAGGGACTTGCCCAGAGACACATAATTAGTGGTGAGTTTTTTTCCCAAGACACTATGATACTGCTTGTATGAAGGTAAAGAAGCTATATTACTTTCAAATGCCATTTGTAATTCATAACTTTTCATTAAAAATTGAGTGCTTACTCTGGGTCAGGCATTGTTCTAAAGGCTCATTTTAATTTAATTTTCATTTACTCGTCAGTAAATGAAAGCTTCCCCCTTTTGAGAGTGCTTGCTAGGGGATAGGCACTGTGCTGAACAGCTCACAAACATTATTCCACTCTATCATCAGGATAGACCTCTGAAAAAGGCATCCTACAGATAAATAGATTGAGAGAGGCTTGCTTAGGGTCTCTCGGTTAATAAGTAGTGGAGACATTGTTTTTAACCAAGGTCACATTCATAAACTACCAATTAAATATATTATTTTCTGGTGACAGTGTCCTGCACTGAATTAGTGTTCTTTTATTTACTTAGAACCAAGGATTAAATCATGGCCTTACAGAGCTGGAAGGGATTCTAGGATTCATCTTTAGAGATCCCAAAGAAGGGAATAAACAGATTTTCTCAAAAGGCTGTTCTTGCACTTAAATATAAAAAGAGTTCTTTCTTTCTAAGCAAAATAATAGTCTTTTTGCGACAATTTTGTTCATTTTCTATAATTTTGGCTATTGTGTAACCACCATAACCCCGCATTGCCTAAAACAGAGAGACAATTCCCCCGTCTTTATCTGTCACACTACTGAGCACCTATCCCAGGATTATGTTTGGCTTTTGACATCACTTTTGTGCTAAGATTCACCTTATTTTCCCTCTGACATACAAGTGTTCCTATGTATTTTTTATTTAATTATTTCTTAGTTCTATATGTTCTATCTTTTGGAATCTTTGGAACTTCACCCAGTATTTGGGAAACAACCAATTCATATTCTTGAGGGAACTTTAAGTTCAATTTCCTAACCCCTGTAAAGTGCTAGCTACGTGGAATGTTTTTCCTACCTTCATCAGGTCATTCTGGTGCTTACAGACACCGGTTCAATGGATGTGCTCCCAATCCTGTTATCTCTATCTCTGAGAACCAGATGTAGCACCAACTTTTGTGTGATGATGACACTGACTTGCTTGCTGACTAGATTTAAATGGATTTTAATACACCAAGATGCAAACAAATAAGCCTTTTTGTTCTCGCTGTTTGTATTTTCAGTGACTTAATTGCCAAGTATTGGGTTCAGTGTTGGGCACCCAACATATAAGGTTGCCCAAGATTCCATGTGCAGTGCGTCTGTGATTACTACTGTAACTTCGCATTCTGAGTCTTATATGCAATAACAACGGATATTGTGATAGTAACAGTTTAGGTCATACTTGCTTTACCACATTATGCCCAGCAGGTGGCACTGTTGCAACTTAATATTTATCCTCTTAGAACTTTCAGAGCAACGTTTTTAAAAGTTAGAAATCTCTATCATGCCATAAGAGTCTGAGACAGCAATTCTTC